CCAAATTGTTTTTCTTACACTTCTGCTATTATGATGATGAAAGTTGTGAGACTGCAGAGCTCTCAATGCCTGAGATAAAGTGACAAATTTTGTTAATCCATCTATTGATTCGCTCTCCTTAGCCACTGGTCTCGGAAGGTTTGAATGAATTCTTATGTCACCCACGAAACATGGCAATTCAATTTGAATTTGCTCCAACCATATTTTAACTGATCATTACTAGTTCCAATGTATTGAAATGTCTCCATTACTTGAAGAACTTTAAAAACATAATTATCAGTACACAAATTATATGAATCATTTACTAGAAACTGAAAAAACTTTGCGACAGTTCATAACTTGACTCTCTGACCTGAAGACAGATATTTTGCTCCACATATTTCTTACCATCTATAACATAAATTGCTCTTCTATCATAAGCATCAGTAAAACTAACAGCATTTTTACAAGACTATTCTTTACTATTTTGGGGAAATATAATATACATTTTTACTTCCACGGATAACTCCTCTTTATCATCTGGCTAATATTCCTGTTTCACATCTACAATTATCTGCAATTTTTACTCCTGAGGAAAATTCTTTACGTTTCACTTCTTTATCATCTGACTGATATTTTTCTGTCTCATATCTATACTTATGCACAATATAATTAACCCACTTAACTTCTTAGTCAGCTAACTACATCTTCCTGTTTTATATCAACAATTGTCTGTTTCCTACTTCTACAATTACATACAATTTTACTCCTGACTAAATGCCATTCACTCACCACACCTAACTCATTTTTTTCTTTTTACTCCACATGCTTCTTCGCAGACACGTACACCTGTGGTATCTACCAATCAGCCATGTCAACTCTTCTGGAGTGTCCACACCTCTGTGGTGTCCATCAACTCTTTCCTCCATTCCCGGATACCACGTTTTGGCACCATTTTGCCAAGGTCCAGCCAGTATCAATCCTGGACTGCAAGAACCATCTGTTCTTAACTGATGTCTTTAGGGCTGTGTTCAGAACCAGACAAACAGCCTAGGGCCTGACCCTGAGTAGGGGATTATGGATCAGGGAAGTCCTAGCTACCAAAAGGTGTTCAGAATGAGACAAAGATATTTGATACTTCAAGAGGGTTCTCAGTCCATACTGGAGACAAGAGATCATTTAAGCATCCTCTTAAATAGCTTTCCAAAAGAGGGAGTACTGGCAGAAGACATCGATTATCATGTATTTAGAGTTGAGGAGGAAACACTCCTTTTAACATGAGAGATGGTCCTAGAATGCATAGACACAAGTCTTCAGACTTTCTTTAATGGTATGTCTCACCAGTCTTGAGACAAGACCTACTAGTCCCCATGCACGTTCCACTAGTGCTCATGATGGGTGTGTGGACAAGGTCTATTGTTACACAAATTAGAACCCATTCTCCACAGTAGCCAAGCCATCAGGAAGAAACCAGTCAACATCTAAAACACAGTAAGAGAGTTGAGCACCTGGAATTGAGCTGAGGCATGTATGGAAATACCATATTCAGGTCCTGACAATATTCATGTCTAGTGGTGAGAGTGGGGTGTTGAAGTCTCCCCCTATAAGTGTGTGAGGTTTTATATGTAATTTCAGTTTTAATACTGTTTCTTTTACGAGTGCGGATACCTTTGTATTTGTGGCAGAGATGTTCAGCATTGAAACTTCATCTTGATGGATTTCTCCTGTGATGAGTATGAAATGAACTCCTTCATCTCTTTTGATTGACTTTAGTTTAAAGTCTAATTTGTTAGATATTAGAATTGCTAGCCCACTTGTTTCCTGGGGCAATTTGATTGGAAAATCATTTCCCACCCTTTAACTCTTAGCCATCATCTGTATTTGAAGCAGAGGTGTGTTCTTGTATCCAGCAGAAGGACAGTTTCTGTCTTTATATCCATTCTGTTAGCCTGTTTCTTTTTATGGGCTATAAGACCATAATATTGAGGCATATTAATGACCGTTGATTGCTCATTCTTGTTTCTTTTGGATTGGGTGGTGGTGGTGGAGTTGTATTTGTATTTCCACCTTTTTTCATTTGACTGCTGATAAAAGGGGATTATATATTACCTATGTTGTCATTGGTTGTACTTAACTTTCTTGGTTTAGAGTTTTCCTTCCAGAACTTTCTGTAGGGCTGGGATAGTGGATATGTGTTGTTTAAATTTTCATTTGTCTTGAAATATCTTATTTACTCCATCTATGGCAATTGAAAGCTTTGCTGAGTATAGTAGTCTAGGCTAGCATCTGTGGTATCTTAGTGTAGGTAAAATATCTATCCAGTACCTTCTAGATTTCAGAGTGTCCATGGAGAAATCACGTGTAATTCTGATAGGTTTGCCTTTATATGTTACTTGAACATTTTCCTTAGCTGTTCTTAATATTCTTTCTTTATTCTCTATGTTTGGAATCTTGATTATTATGTGGTGAGGGGGCTTTTTTGTGATCAACTCTATTTAGTGTTCTGTGAGCTTCTTGCAACTTCATTGGCATGTCTTTCTTTAGGTTGGGAAAGTTTTCTTCTGTAATTTTGTTGAATATATTTTCTGCCCCGTTGAGGTGGTTTTCTTCACCATCTGCAATATCTATTAATCTTAGTTTTGGTCTTTTCATGGTGTCCCATATTTCCTGGATATTTTGCATTAGGGATTTGTTGAACTTAAGATTTTCTTTGGTCAATGACTCTATTTCTCCTAGTGTATCTTCAACACTTGAAATTCTCTTTTCCACCTCTTGTGTTCTGTTGGCTATGCTTGCATGTGTTGTACCTGCCCATTTTCCCATCTTTTCTATTTCCATGATTACTTCAGACTGAGGTTTATTTTGGCTCTATGTCAGTGTTCAACCCTTGCACTGTTTGAATTGTTTCTTGCAATTTTTGCTTTGTTTCTTCCTCTATTTCTTGCTTTTTGAGTTGTTTTTCTTCTGTTTACTACAGGTTTGGTTTGTTTTTTCTTCCATCTCTTTAAGGGATTTTCTCATATCCTCTTTGAGGGTCTCTATCATTTTCATGAAGTTGTTTTTATAGTCATTATTGTCTGCTTCATTTGAACTGGAATGTTGGAGTCTGGTTGGTGTAGAGTCTCTAGACACTGGCAATATCATATTTGTTTTTCTATTGCTAAGTAGTTTTTGTATTGTCTCCTACTCAACCCTTCTACCAGTGGGTGCAGAAAGAACCTCTTCTTCTCCTGGTAGGTACAAGACCAGAGTTCCCTTATGGTGGGTGTAAGTAATTCCAATCAGCTGGTAGCTCTTCTATATTTGGTCCTAGACCTGTAGGAAGAGAAGGAGGTTAGGATGTTGGGGTGCCTTGGTTCCTGTCTGGTCCCATGGTTGCAGAAGAAGACAAGGATACTGTGTTGCATTTGTTCCCTCCAGGATGGGAGCTGCACTGGCACTTGCCAGGCACTGGGACCATTGAAGGTTAATTCTTCTCATTTTTGTACTGGTGGTGCTTGTGCTGCTATTATGTGAGAATTTATCCTGCTTTTCATTTTTACTTTAAGTAAAATGGGATTATTATTGTCTATGTTTTGTGAGAGTAGTTAACTTCCTTAGGTTTGTGTTTTCCTTCAGGTAATTTCTGTAGGAATGGATTAATGGATGTGTACTGTTTAAATTTGCTTTTGTTGTTTAATATTTTGTTTTCACAATCTATAATGATTGAAAGATTTTCTAGCTATAGTTGTCCATGCTGGCATCTGTGATCTCATAGTGTTTGTAGAATATCTATCCAGGACCTTCTGGCTTTCAGAATTTTCTTGGAGAAATAAGTTGTAATTCTGATAGGTCTGCCTTTATATATTACTTAGCTTTTTTTCCTTACGTGCTTTTAAAACTTTATTTATTCTGTATGTTTGATGTTTTAATTATTATGTTGTGAGGGGCCTTTTTGTGATTCACTCTATTTAGTTTTCAGTTTCTTGTATGTTCATTGACATGCCTTTCTTTAAGTTGGGTGAGTTTTCCTATGTGATTTTGTTGAATATGTTTTGTGCACCTTAGAGTTGGTTTCTTTATCTTCTTTTATACACAATATTCTCAAATTAAGCCTTTCCACACTGTCCCAGATTTCCTGGACATATTGTGTTAGGGATTTGCTGGACTTAAGATTATTTTTGGTCAATGAATCTATTTCTCCTAGTGCATCTTCAACTTCCATTCTCTCATACACCTTGTGTATTCTGTTGGTTTTGCTTGCATCTGTAGTTCCTGATCATTTACTAAGTACTTCTATTTCCAGCACTCCCTTTAACTGTATTTGTAATGTCACTATTTTTGCTATCAAATCCTGCACTGTTTGAATTGTTTCTTGCAATTTTCAGCTTGTGATTTGCTCTGTTTCCTGATTATTTTGTTTGCTTTTTCTTCCATTTCTTTAAAGGATTTTCTCATTTTCTCTTTTTGCTCTATCATCTTCATGAAGGATTTTTTGGGTCATTCTCTTTTGCTTCACCTGTGTTGGGATGTTGAGGTCTTGCTGATGTAGAGTCCCAAGATTCTAGATGTGACATATTAGTTTTTCTGTTGTTGAATATGTTCTTATTTTTTGTCTTCCCATCCCTTCTTCCAGTGGGTTCATGTGGGGTTTCATCTTCTCCTGGTGGGTACAAGTTCAAGGTTCTCTTCCTGTAGTTGCAAGCAGGCCCAATAATCCAATAGGTCTCACGATGGGTCCTGAAGGATCTGAGACAGTCACTCTCCCAGTGGGAGAAGACAGGACTAGCACCATGGTGTCAGCAAATTCTGGATGGCTTCATCCACCTCCAGCAAGTTGACATATCCACAAGACCCCATGTAAGGAGATATCAAAGAGCCTGCATTCTCATTATAATTCAAGCAAATAAGGGGGAATATTTAAATATGGATTTTTAAAGGAAGTTTTAAAACTGTGACAGCCATTGCACTAATCTTGTACATATGTCAGGTCTTATGTGGTGTGAGCCTTCCTCCTAAATAGTCTTTTGCCTTCTATTCAGGTTTAAGGTGAGGAATTACCAGTGTATTTTGGCCATGATGTTTGCCATTGAGGAGATCAACAGCAATCCCTATCTGTTACCCAATACAACACTGGGATTTGTGGTTCAGAATGTCCCAGCGGGTCAAAGAAATACTCTGGAAAATGTTTTTCGAATACTTTCAGGCATTGATTATGCCCTCCCCAACTATAGATGTGCAAGAGAGAGCATGTCAGCTGCTGTAATTACAGGGCCATCATGGGCAATATCAGAATACATAGGGACACTGCTGAATCTTTATAAATTTCCACAGGTGAGAGATGATGGGCTAGGACATGACGTCAGCTATTCTTGATCATGTTTTGAGTGGCCTAGGAAAATGTGGAAACTTATCTCACTCTTATTGGAGAGGCAACTGATGAAGACAGTAGTTTGTAATGCATCTGTACTCATGTAGTATAGAATAGAGTGAAGGGACAGGGTTGACTATAGAAAGCATAGCATTGAACAACAGAATATATTATGTACTACTCTGGAAACCCATAGGAATGTAGGTTTGACCCTGAAAGAACTACTATACTACATGCTTAAAAACATTGCTGGAGAATTGAGTTGAATTTTATAAAAATCTTTTTGTAACTGTTTATTTTTCTCTACAGTTTACTATTGGGTCTTTTGATACTACCCTGAGTGAAAAAAGGCAGTTTTCTTCCTTGTACCAGGTGGCTCCAAAGGACACATCTCTGATGCTTGGTATTGTATCTTTGATGCTTCATTTCCACTGGATTTGGGTTGGACTTTTTATTATAGATGATCACAAAGGTGCGCAGACTCTGTCAGATTTGAGACATGCAATGGAGGATAATGGAGTCTGCATAGCATTTGTGGAAATGATACAAGTTAATAGGGGTGCATTTCTGACCACATCCTGGAAAAACCATGTTCAGATTGTGGAATCATCAACAAATGTAATTATTATTTATGGTGACAGTGATTCACTACTAAGCTTAATTATATATATTAAGCAGAAGTTTCTGACATGGAAAGTCTGGGTCTTGAACTCCAACTGGGATAATACTAGCTTCAATGACAATTTTCTGTTAGATTCAATGCATGGTGCCCTTATTTTTTCACACAATCATGAGAAGATTATTAATTTCACAAATTTTATTGAGGCAGCCAATCCTTTCAAATACCCCAAAGATATTTTTCTTCATGTATTGTGGAATTTATTCTTCAAATGCTCATTTTTGAGGAAAGATTGTAAAATTGTGGAAAACTGTAAGCCTAATGCCTCTTTGGAGTTCTTGCCAGGGAAGTTATTTGATATGGCTATGAGTGAAGAAAGTTACAATGTGTACACTGCTGTGTATGCTGTGGCCCACAGTCTACATGAGATGATGCTCAATCGAGTACAATTTCATGCTCTTGAGAAAGGAAGAGAGAAGGCATTTTCCCCTTGGCAGGTAAGGCCACTTCTTTAGTATTATACCAGCAGCAACCTGATGATCGAAGGCCTTATAAATTCACTCAAGCTACAGATTACATATTTTAGATTATTTTGTCTAAAATCTAAGAGACAGACTGTGCAAGGAGAGATTTCTTTTAAATCAAAATAGAGTTGTACTACCAAGTGCCATACAATATTTTCAGGGCAAAATAATCAATATAAAATTTTGATTTAAGAAGGAGATTTCAATACATAGAAAAGGCAGAGACAGAGACATTTCTCAATGAAAACTAAGACTTCCAAATGTTTATGCTTAGTGAATTATCATTCATTAGATCATTCATTTTACATTCTAAAACTCTAAATAATTTCGAGACTTCTTTGGGAATGACTTCATTTTAAAAATGTGGGAAAGATTTTTCTCTGTGTACACTCATGGCTTGTGAATGCTTGCTTCTACAATTTTCAATAAAAGTTTTTGGAATATTTTAGAAGCATAATGATATTTCCATTATTCTTGTGTATCATTTGATTGATGTGATTTATACCTATATTAGAAGTGCTTTTGGCATCAGGAACTAACATTAGTAAGAGATGTTCTCTGATTCTGCCTCTGTTGCACATTTCTGGAGTTTATGTAACAACATAGTATGTATCTCCCTTAGCTTCACCCTTTTATAAAGAACATACAAGCCTTCAATCATACTGGATACCAGGTACTTCTGAATTGGAAAAGGAAATCACATGAAGAATATGACATTCTCAATTTTTGGAATTTTCCAAAAGGTCTTGGATTAAATGTGAAGGTAGGAACTTTCTCTACAAATGCCCCAAAGGGCCAGAAGTTGTCGTTATCATCTCATATGATACAGTGGGCCACAGGATTGACAGAGGTGGGTTTCATCTTATTCCAGCATTTTGACCTGTAGGTATATTTAAAAATCATATTTCTGCTTATCATAAATATTCACTGCTCACACAGAGCCCATTTATAGACACAAATGACCGTCAATATAACCAATTGTTTTTTACACAATTTTGTTATATGAACTGTATATTTTCTTTTTTTTCTTTTTTTATCATTTTTATTTTAATTTTAAATAGCTTGTTTTACATGTCAATCCCAGTTCCCTCTCCCTCCCCTCCTCCCGCACTCCCCTTCCCCCACACCCTCCCCCCCCTATTGCCAAATCTTTCCACATAGGGGATATCTAGAGTCTGTCATTTCACTCTGGGTAGGGTCCAGGAACTCCCCTAAGAGTCCAGGCTGAAAGAGCATCCCTCTTTGTGCTATGGGCACATGATGACTGTTTGTATTCCAGGGATAGACACTGATCCACAGCTCAGGGCCCCATAGGTTGCGCAGGCCTTCTCACAGACACTCACATTGGGGGGTCCAGATCAGTCCCATGCTGGCCTCCCCACTGTTGGTCTGGTGTCCAAGAGCTCTCCCCTGTAGAGATCAGCTGTCTCTGCTGGTTTTGCCAGCACATTCTTTGCCAATTTGCTCATCTCACTCAGGACAGTTTCTTCCAGTGCTATCCATTTACCTGTGAATTTCAAGATTCCATTGGATTTTTTCTGCTGAGTAATACTCCATTGTGTAAATGTACCACATTTTCTCTATCCACTCTTCAGTTGAGGGGCATCTAGGTTGCTTCCAGGTTCTGGCTATTACAAATAATGCTGCTATGAACATAGTGGAGCAGATGCCCTTGTTGTATGAATTTATCTCATTTGGATATATGCCTAAGAGTGGAATTGCTGGGTCTATGGTAGATTAATTCCCATTTTCCTGAGGAATCTCCATACTGATTTCCAAAGAGGCTGTATGAGTCGGCACTCCCACCAGCAGTGGAGGAGTGTTCCTCTCTCTCCACATCCTCTCCAGCATAAATTGTCTTTGGTGTTTTTGATTTTAGCCATTCTGACAGGAGTAAGATGGTATCTCAGAGTTGTTTTGATTTGCATTTCCCTAATGGCTAAGGATGTTGAGCCCTTTCTTAAGTGTCTCTTGGCCATTTTAGCCACCTCTATTGAGAATTCTCTATTTAGTTCTGTACCCCACTTTTTAATTGGATCCTTTGGTGTTTTGGAGACGTGCTTCTTGAGCTCTTTGTAAATTTTGGAGATTAGCCCTCTGTCAGATGTAGGGTTAGTGAATATCTTTTCCTATTCTGTGGCCTGCCTTTTTGTCTTTGTGACTGTGTCCTTTGCCTTACAGAAGCTTTTTAGTTTCAGAAGGTCCCATTTGTTAATTGTCGATCTCAGTGACTGTGCCACTGTTGTTATGTTTAGGAAGTGGTCTCCTGTACCAACTCGTTGAAGAGTATCTCCCACTTTCTCTTCTAAAAGTTTCAGTGTGGCTGGATTTATGTTGAGATCTTTGATCCATTTGGACTTAAGTTTTGTACAAGGCGATAAACATGGATCTATCTGCAGTCTTCTGCATACCAGTACCCAGTTATGCCAGCACAATTTGTTGAAGATGCTTTCTCTTTTCCATTGTATAGTTTTAGCTTCTTGTCAAATATCAAGTGTTCATAGGTGTGTGGGTTAAAATTAGGGCTTTCAATTCGGTTCCATTGGTCTACCTGTCTATTTTTGTGCAAATACCAAGCTGTTTTCAGGACTATAGCTCTATAATAGAGCTTGAAGTCAGGTATGGTGATGTCTCCTGAAGATCCTTTATTGTATACGGTTGTTTTGGCTATCCTGGGCCTTTTGTTTTTCCATATAAAGTTAATTAATGTTCTTTCCAGGTCCTTGAAGAATTGTGATGGAATTTTGATAGGGATTGCATTGAATCTGTAGACTGCTTTTGGCAAGATTGCCATTTTTATTATGTTGATCCTACCAATCCAAGAGCATGGGAGATCTTTCCATTTTCTGGTATCTTCTTTGATATCTTTCTTTAAAGACACAAAGTTCTTGATATACAGGTCTTTCACTTCCTTGGTTAACATTATTCCCAGATATTTGATGCTGTTTTTGGCTATTGTAAAGGGTGATGTTTCTCTGATTTCTTTCTCAGTCACTTCATCATCTGTATATACTAGGGCCACTGATTTTTTTGAGTTTACCTTGTATCCTGCCACATTGCTGAAGGTGTTTATCAGCTCTAGGAGTAACCTTGCGGAGTTTTTTGGGTCACTTATGTAAACTATGATATCATCTGCAAATAGTGAAAGTTTGACTTCTTCTTTTCCTATTTGTATCCCCTTTATCTCCTTTTGTTGTCTTATTACTGTAGATAGAACCTCAATATATTTTCTAATCTGGTCCTTTATTTAATGTCATAATCATAGTATTTGTTTCATGATTATCTCTATCATCATCATGAGTCACTTGACAGATTTATTTGATTCTAGCTTTGAATGTTTAAGCTTTAGTCAGTTGTCTTTTGCTTTTAGACCCCTGTCCATGAAGAGTAGTATGCCTGGAATGTGTAGATGTTTTAGTTATTTATTAGCTGTTACAAAAAATGCTAACTAATGAAGAGTATAGGAAGATTTTTCTTGACTAACAGTTTAGGATATATTCAATCACTGCGGGAAGCAATGGTTTTAGGCAATAGAGGTAACTGTTCACATTGCAGTAACCATCAAGGAACAGAGACATCTGGATTCTACTGTGAACATCCTTTCTTCTTTTTCATTCATTCTGCAACCACAGCCAAAGAATTGGTGCCATGCACTGTAGAGAAGATTTTTGATGTCAAACAACCTAATCTCAAAAACTTTCATAATAATTGTCTTAGGGTGGTTTCCACAATGGCTCTAAGACCTGTGGGGTTGACATGATGAACCATCACTATGGAATTATAGTTAATTTGTCCTTGTATCCAGGGGTCAGGATACAGTAGGTGTGTAGTCTCATCAAGGCATGCTATAAAGGACATAATATTTTGCCTCTATACCTTGCCTCACTATCTTTCAAAAGTTTTCCAAAAAAGTCATGTCATTAAATACATATATTGACGACTAGGGCCTTTGAATGACCCAACCTATTAGAATTAACAATCCAAATATAAAATATCTAAACCCTCTACTTATTACAGATTCCATGAAACCGTGAATATTTGTTACCATTCATTTTGTTCTTCTCAGATTCCTCAGTCTGTATGCAGTGTGAGTTGTGAACCTGGATTCAGGAAAACCCACCAAGAGGGCATGGTTGCCTGTTGCTTTGACTGTACCCATTGCTCAGAGAATGAGATTTCCAATGAGACAGGTAAATATCAGCCATGCAGAAAACATCCACCCTTGCTTCATCTGCAAGATCTAAAAAATGAAGAAACATCCGTTATTGAAGTATATGTTCCCATCAGTGAAGACAATCATCCTAATTCTAACTGTTAGAAAACTGCAAGTTACAGTTATAGCAACTGAAATAACCCACTAGTGACATTGAAATTCAAATCTGCTTTGTGTTCCTGCATAATTGGGAACACTTATGCCTATGGAAAACTTCTCTCTTCATGTGCCAGAGAGAGATATGGTTCATTTCACCGAGATTTTTGTCTTAGTGTCTTTTCTATTGCTTCGGAAAGGCACCATGACAAAACAATTTGTAAAAAAAAAAAAAAGGCATTTAAATGAACGTGTAGTTTCAGATGGTTAGAGTCACCAAAGGCAATGCAAAGCCATGTAAAGTGATTTTAATGAACAAAGTCCAAAAGTCTTTCACATTTGTCCAATCTAATTACATGGTCATATCTTTCATGTTATAGCCTACTCAGTGATACCAGCTTCATTTCAGTTTCTTATCTATTTCAAGAAATCATGACCAGTGGCACTTATAAAATATAGCATTTAGCATAGAGCTCATAGTTTCAGAGACTACAAATCCACAATGCTGGAACAACAGAATGCCTGTGTGAAAAGATGAGAAATCACATCTGATAAATATTGGATCCATGGATATTGGGTTTCCCCACCGATGAAAAAAGCCAACTAAAAAAGGCACGTTTAATAAACAGACAAAAGAAACTCCTAGGTGTCTCTTGGAAAAACTGGTGAGAAAATTACATAGCAGGTCTAGAGACCCAGTCTGGAAGCCTAGACTTAAGAAGATCTGTAGGTGGTTGAGCAGTTTCAGAGGAGTAAGTCGCCATGGTGGGCTTTCTGATGGGCAAGGTCTAGAATGGAAGAAATGAGGCAGTGTTCTGTGCCAGACATCTCAGTGAGGTTTCAAATAGCGGAGTGTTAAGCCTGCTTGCTGATCCCCATCAAAATCTTCTTTCATAAAGCATAAGGCATAGGGTACCCATGGGAAAGTCTTCAGTTCTTTTGAACCACAACATCACTCCCAATAATTACTAAATGTTACATCAAATGGGAACCAAATAGTCAAATAAATGAAACAGGTGGGTGGACCTACTCAAGACAGAGTTGAACACATGCCAATTAAGTACCAACTCTTCATAGATATCAAATTAAGGATATTTTTGTGGATCCTACCTTTTACATCTCTAAAATCTTATAGACCATCATGGTTCTGAAAATAGAGTAGGTCTATTTATTTATATTTATTTATAGGTTTTATTTCTTAGATACAGAGTTGATACATAGATAGATGATACTAGGATCAAAAATAAAATCTAAATCAATTGTATGTGAGTGAAATCGAGTCATTATGAGAATAAGAATAAATCCTACACATATATTCCTTGCTAAGATATTCATGAAATATTTTAAATAATTACATCTGGAAAAGGCCTCATGGATTTTTTATTTTGGTTTCTTGAGACAGGGTTTCTCTGTGTTGTTTTGGAGGCTGTCCTGGAACTAGCCTGTATACCAGGCTGGCCTGGAACTCACAGAGATCCACCTACCTCTGCCTCCCGAGTGCTGGGATTAAAGGCATGTGCCACATATGCCTGGTTCGTTCTTTCCTTTTATAATACAAACTTCCTAAATTGTATTTTGCTTTTATACTTGGAATCTATTCATGCTGTATATTTACAAGATCTAATTCTTTTAGGAAATATATTGAGGCTGACAAGATGAAACACCTCCTCATTACCTAGGATGCATTCGACTTACACACACTCATTATATGCAACGTTCATGTTCTTCTTCTGGTTGCGTTAAAGAGAAGCATGTGAGCCACACAGCAAAATTCCACATGGGTTGAGGTTAATAACTAGACTTTAGGAGAAAATGTAGCCGGAAAAATGAGAACAACACATAAATATTAGACACTTAAATAAGTTACTTGTTCAAATAATATAGGACAATCTAATCTCTACCATAAAAGAAAATGTTTAATCATTTATAAAGTAATTTGAATACCTTGCAAAATACATGCCTTTCAGCAAAAAGACATACAAAGCGTTTATTATCATGTACAATATTTAAAGCAAAATAAATGTTCCAAAAACTGAAGAAAGGGAGTAAAAACAGAGGAGAACAACATGAAAATAATTATGTGGGCCTGAGAGATAGCTCCAAAATTAAGAGCACTGGCTGTTCTTCAAGGGCATCAAGTTTCAGGTCTGAGGACCCATAGAGAGTGTAAGGGGTGGGGAACATTTGACAGGAATTGAGGAGGATATAATCATGATCAGAATATATTTTATAGGGAATATGAATGGTAATGTGATTGTATAAATAAAATTAATTTTCCTTTCAAAATTAAAATGTATATAGAATAATGGACATAATTAATTTATTGAAAATGTGACAGAAAATCCATAAGCACACATCATAATATAAAAGTAAGTTAATATACTATTAGGAACACAGTATTCAAACAGAGTTCCATGAAGACTTTAGAATAAAAGAACAGTTTTATATAAATATATATTCATCACATAGTTATTAGTGTACAGTTATTAGTGTACAGAATTATAAGAAAAATGTCACTGATGAAGTGTTTCAAGGCTCCAAGAATTTAAGAATGCTAAATGTACATTTCAAATTAGTTCCATGCAGTGTATTTCAGTGCTTTAATGACTCATAAATCAGGTACAACAGTGTCTCTAAAAGATAGGAGATGATAGGCATACAACAGAGGAAACATTGAGGCCATTTTCTTTCTGTCATCAAGAAGTAGAAGGCAAATTGAGTTTAAATATTTTCTCTAGAAAAATCCTTTAATATTTGTATTAGAAACAAAGCAAATGGTTCAGATAACATTGCAATGTTCTAGAGTTGGAAAATAGCATAGGATAAAAAGAAAAGGATGCATAACTACTCAGGATCACCTTCATTTCTGCCAGATGTGGATCAGTGTGTGATGTGTCCAGAAAGTCACTATCCAAACACAAAGAAGAACTACTGCTTACAGAAAAGCGTGACATTCCTGGCCTATGATGACCCCTTGGGGAAGACAATCAGCTTCATCTCCCTGGGCTTCACCTCACTCACAGTTCTTGTTCTCTGGGTGTTTCTTAAACACAAAGACACTCCCATTATTAAGGCCAATAACAGGGCTCTCAGTTATACCCTGCTCATCACTCTGACCCTCTGCTTTCTCTGTCCCTTGCTCTTCATTGGCCGTCCTCACACAGTCAACTGTATCCTACAGCAGAACATGTTTGGACTGCTGTTCACTGTGGCTCTTTCGACTGTGCTGGCAAAAACTCTGACTGTACTTGTAGCCTTCAAGATCACCACTCCAGGGAAAATGAGGATGTTTCTGATATCAAAGGCCCCGAATTTCATCATTCCCATATGTGCCCTGCTGCAAGTTGTTCTCTCAGGAATTTGGCTGGCAACCTGTCCTCCATTTATTGACAAAGATGTATATTCAGAACATGGCCGCATCATCATCATTTGCAACAAAGGCTCAGCTCTTGTCTTCTACTGCATCCTGGGATACCTGGGAACACTGGCCATGGGAAGCTACCTTATGGCATTCTTATCCAGGAATCTTCCTGATGCATTCAATGAAGCCAGGTTCCTGGCTTTCAGCATGCTTGTGTTCTGCAGTGTCTGGATCAGTTTCCTCCCTGTCTACCACAGCACCAAGGGGAAGGTCATGGTGGCTATGGAAGCCCTCTCTATCCTGGCTTCTAGTGCATCACTCTTAGGCATCATCTTTGCCCCAAAGTGCTACATCATACTCTTAAGGCCAGAAAGGAACTCACTTCATCACATCAGGGACAAAACATAGACTAAGAGGTAAAACCTTAAAACCCACCTCACTTGTTTCTTAAGTTGAAGAGCTTTGAAGTACGCTTGTGCTTCCCCTTCTAAACACTCACACATGAAGGTATAATATGACATTTGATCCTATATACTGCTATTTCTTTAAGTTACAATATTAGGATACCTTATAAATCTGTATCTAATATTTTTTTCATGTTGAAATATGTGCTGAATTGACTTCTCGCATTCACTATTATCATTGTATAATGATTTCATTTCTTAGCAAGGGAAAGCAAATTTGTGATTTCCTCACACATGGATAATTCACAAATTTTACTAATTTTGCAGCTGGATTTCAAAAATTATTTATTTACTCTATAAACTCTGAGTACCGATAACAGATCTAGTTATCTATGTAAAAATTCTTAAACATTTCGTTAATTTGACATTCATTGCAGCAAAATTGTTTCAATATAGAGCTTGATTTCTGAAACCCTTAAGACACTTCATCAGTTTATTATATTTTCTTATGTTATATGATTTTATTCTGAAGAAATAGAAATTCTTTACATTTTATGTTACATTTCATCATTAAACTGTACCATATTACTACAAATTATAGCTAACATAGGGTCTCATTTTATAGCTCAACTCCCAATGTCATCCAGAACAAACAATTTGCAGTCAGTGTATCAAGGTAGTATTTGAATTATAGTGATGCATATTAAATATGAAGATATAACTACTCCCACTGACTCAGTGTTCATTTCTATTTGATTCTAAACATCTAGGCAGGCTTTCTATAGTTACTTCTTTACAGTCTGTCACCTTTTGTTAAATTGATGCATATTCCTTCAACTCACAGAGGCTTCCAATCGAGGAGGGCATTTGCACCCACAGATGTGAATGCTTCTGTGTACCTAGGGCTACAGATGGAGTCATAAGAAGATACTGTGCCCTTGTGCTTCTCACTGTATTGGGTGTATGTGAACTAGGGCTTTATTAACCATGTTAAGAAAGTTGAAGGTTTCAGGAAGAATAGTTCAAGAAGTTGAAATAAAAGAATAAAGGAACAGAGTCAGAGTCAGCTGACACAGCAGTCTTGGCACTCTTACAAACACCAGGAGAGGTGAGTGTGGGCCTTGCTCAAGCCCATCTTCCCTCTCCCCTCCTGGGAGTTTCCAGGGTCAGCTGAGCTTGTAGTAGACCTGTCTCTGCAGGCCATATCATCCAGAGGCTGCCAAAATAATAGTTTTAACATGCATATATGCATGAGGAGGGGCAAAGAGAAGACAGGAGAGGATAGGAGAGGAGAGGGACAGTCCCCAACTGCACCCACTGCAATAATGGATGGCAAGAGATAGTAACATTCAACAACAGAAAGACAATTATGATGCCATCAGAGTCTGGGAACTCTACACCAGCAAAACCGAAACATCCCAGTGCAGATGAAGCAAAGGAGAATCACTTAAAAACAACTTTATGAAAATATAGGGATCCTCAAAGACAAAATGAGAAAATTCCTGCTGTACCTAATAAAAGGTACAGCAAAATTAAAAGACACTCAGCTCAAGGGTACAAAATCATATTGATGAACATCATAGAAGAAAACTTTACCCACCTAAAGAAACACATGCCTATTAAAGTGCACGAACCTTACAGAAAACCAAATAGACTGGATCAATTGGGTTAAACAGACATCTATAAAACATTCCATCCAAACACAAAAGAATATACCTTCTTCTAAGTGCCACATGGAACCCTCTCTAAAACTGACCATATATTCAGCAACAAAGCAAACCTCTATACATAAAAAATATTGGAATACCCCCTGTCTCTTATGAGACTACCATGGCATAAAGTTGGAATTCAACAAGAACACAAATTTCAGAAAACCTACAAACTCACAGAAATGGAACAAGGCTAAATTACATTACTCATGGGTCAAGGAAGAAATGGAGAAATTAAAAACTTCCCAGAATTAAATGAGATGGAGTCACAGCATGCATGAATTTATGAGACACTGCGAAAGCAGTGCTAAGAGGAAAAGTTCATAGCACTAACTGCCCATATTTAGAAACTGGAGAAGTAACAGCACACATGAAAGCTTTAGAACAAAAATAGGCAGCCTCACCCAGGAGGAGTAGTAGCAAGAAATAAGCAAATTGAGGGTTGAAATCAATAAAAAAGAAACAAAGAAAACACTGCAAAGAATCAATGAAACAAAGAGTTGGTTTTTCAAAAATGGCAGCAATGTAGACAATTCTTTATCCAAACTAACAAAAAGGCAGAGAGAGGACATTCATATTAGCAAATCATAAATGAAAAGGGGGAACATATCAATGGACACTGAGGAAATCCAGAGAACCATCAGGTCATGCTTTGAAAACCTGTACTGCACAAAATTGGAAATTTAAAGGAAATGTAATGCAGAAATATTAAGCGACACAAAATAGGGATGTCATATGATATTTTATTGGGGGAGAGATCACTTACGTGAGAAGCCAAAAAAGCCAAGAACCAAAGGTCTGAATGCTGCTCTCTGGTCTCAAACTGGAAGCCAAAGAGAAAGAGTCTCCTCCCCCTAGCTCTTTTATCCCCTGTAATTTCTAAGTACCTTTGTACACACCCAAATGGGCATGGTCAGTGCTATGGGTACGTAGATCTCTCCCTACAGTAATGGGTGATTTTCTGGGTAAATATTCCTTACCAAAACTAAATACAGAACAGGTAAGCAATTTTCATACACCTGTAATCCATAATGAAATAGGGCAGTCACAACTAAAAAATAGAACCAGATTGTTTCAGCACAGAATTCTACCAGAAATTGAAAGAAGAGATAGTACCAATATTCCTCAAATGGTTCCCCATAATAGAAGCAGACGTGTCATTGCCAAACTCTTTTGATGAGCTACAATTACCTTGGTACCAAAAACACACAAAGACACAAGTAAGAAAGATATCTACAGCCCAATCTCCTTCATGAACATTTACATCATGAACATTGATGTAAAAATACTAAATAAAACACTGGCAAATCAAATCCAAGATCACATCACAGAAATCATCCACCATGATCAAGTAGACTTCATCCCAGGGATACAGGGGTGGTTCAAATACAAAATCCATAAATGTAATTCACCATATAAACAAACTGAAAAAGGAAACCACATGATTCCACGAGATGCTAAAAAAGCATCTGACAAAATCCAACATTCCTTCATGATAAAGGTCTTGGAGAGACAGTGAATGGCAGGAACATACCTAAACATGATAAAGACAATATACAGTAACCTATCAATCAACGTCAAAATAAAAGAGGAGAAAAGCAATGACATTGCTCTAAAATCAGAAACAAGATTGAACACTCTTTGCATGTCTCTTCAATATTATACTTGAAGGTCTAGCTAGAGCAATAAGACAACAAAAGGAGATCAAATTATACAAATTGAACAGAAAGGAGTCAAACTTTCATTATTTGCAGATGACATGATAGTTTACATAAATAACCCATAAACGTCTACCAGGGAACTCATACAAATGATAAATACCATCAATAAAGTGGCTGAAGGATACAGGATTAATTCAAAAAATCAGTAGCCCTACTATGTACAGATAATAAATAGGTTATGAAAGAAATCAGAGAAATATAAGCCTTTAAAATAGACACAGACACATAAAATATATTGCAGAAACTCTAAGCAAACATGTGAAAAACCTGTATGACAAGAACTTCCAGTCTTTAAAGAAGTAAATCAAAGAAAATACCAGGGAATGGAAACATCTTCCATGCTCTTGTATAACTCGGATCAACATAAAAATAACTGGCAGTCTTGCAGAAAAGCAATTTACAGAGTGACTGCAATCCCCATAAAAATCCCAGCTCAATTCATGACAGACCATGAAAGAATGATAATCAACTTTGTGAGGAAAAAAAAACAGGACAGGAAAAACAATCCAGTACAATAAAGGAACTACTGTAGGCATCAATATCCCTTACTTCAAGATCTGCTAGAGAATTATAGTAGTGAAAACAATTGATATCACCAGAAAAACAGTCAGGTACACCAATGGAAATGGCTTGAAAACCCTGATATTAATCCACACACCTATGAACACCTGATTTTTGACAAAGAACATAAACCTACACAAAGGAAAAAAGAAACCATCTTCAAAAACCAGTTCTAGTATAACTCAATGCTTGCAATAATAAGATTGCAGGTAGATCCTTAGAGCTAAGCACTAAGTCATATTTGGAATTCAGTTGTAGAGAGAGAGGAGGGATGAATAAAGGCATCACAACCATGCTAAAGAAACAGCCGATCTGTCCAAATGAGAGCACATGTACCCCAGTTATAAAGCTGGGGAATTAGCATAGGACCAAACCAAGCCCTTTGAATTTGGATGTCAGTTAAGAGGACTGGAAAGTCTATGGTAAAACTGAAAATGGAACCAGTATCTATCCCTAATGCACAAATGGACTTAGGCAGCCTGTTTCCCATGGATGTATACTCTCTCAGCATGGGGCAATGCCTTATGCCCTCCCCCAAATGATGTGACAGATTTGACGATCCCCCATGGAAGGACTCACCCTCCCTGGAGAGTGGATGGGGGTGGGATGGGGACTTCTGTGGGGGGCTTAAACTTCTTCACAGCTGCTACTAGAATATAAAATAAGCAAAATAATGTATGAAATCTGAGATAAAGTAGAAGAAATTGGTCATCAAAGATATCTGTGAAAACCAAGAATTGGAGAGGGAAATCATGTTTTAGAAGTCAACTATTCAGCTTATCGTTCCATTTATAATGATTTGTAGGGAGCAGGAGGACTGACAGGACTCATGTAGTATCTAAAATAAGTCGAAAAGATTTGATTTTTATCTCAGGATAATGTTGAATATTTAAAATCGACATTTAACATGTTAATGAACTGTGATTCTGTGTTGGTTTTGGATATAACAGAATCCAGGACATTTTAGGATTTGACATAGTTTTTGGTTCTCAAGACAATGGAAACACAGGTTTTGGTCAGATATTCTGTACTGCTGTAGAACAGGCCCCACTGTACATATTCTGTGGATCTCAGATGCTTTACATATAAAGCTGCCTCTCCATGGCATCAATTTTGTGATATAATACCCAGTGAGTG